CATTAAATTTGGTTAAGAAAATTTCAAAAGAAATACCAAAATCTTTTCAATCAGATCTTTTTCTTTTAACTTCTCTATTGGATGCATTTATGAAATGTGGAGATGTGACTAGTGCTCAATCATTATTCAATACTTCAAAAACAAAATCATTAGAAATGTATTCAGCAATGATGAAAGGTAATTATTTATATCTTAATAATTATTTTATTTTGAAAATTTGTTCTGAAGGTTACATAAAAAATAATATGGCAGGAAAAGCAATTGATATTTTCAATCAAATTCGAAATCCTAATGAAACTATTACAAATCTTCTATTTAATGCTTGTGCTGAATTAGGAACTAATGATGCATTAAATATAGTAAAGAAAATTTCGAAAGAAATGCCAAAATCGTTTGAATCGAATATTTTTCTTCGAACTTCCCTATTGGATGCATTTATGAAATGTGGTGATGTTATTACTGCTCAATCATTATTTGACATTTCAAAGCAAAAATCATTATCAATGTATGGAGCAATGATGAAAGGTAATTATTATTAATATATATTATTATTTTCTCTAAATATGTTAACAGGTTATGTAAAAAACAATATGTCAATAAAAGCAATTGATATTTACAATGAAATTCATGTTCCGAATGATATTACTACCATTATTTTATTTAATGCATGTGCGCAATTAGGAACAAATGAAGCGCTAAATTTAGTAAAAAACGTTTCAAAAGAAATGCCAAAATCTTTTTATTCTAATGTTCGTTTATCAGTTTCTCTGTTGGATGCATTGATGAAATGTGGCGATGTAACTGATGCTCAAGAATTATTTAATAATTCAATGAAGAAGTCAATAGAAATGTATGGAGCAATGATGAAAGGTAACAATAATAGAATTTTGAATTGATTTTTGTTGAAAATTTTTCTAAAGGTTACATAAAAAATAATATGTCGGAAAAAGCAATTGAACTTTTTAATAAAATTCAAACTCCTGATGAAGTTATTGTGACATTATTATTTAATGCATGTGCTCAATTAGAAACTACTGAAGCATTAAATTTGGTTAAGAAAATTTCAAAAGAAATACCAAAATCTTTTTATTGGAATCCTTTTGTTTCAACGTCTTTATTAGACGCATTTATTAAGTGTGGGGATCTGTCAAGTGCAGAAATTCTTTTCTCAAAAATGAAAAAATCTGTAATAGATTATGGAAGTTTAATGAATGGTTTTATTAAAGATAATAATCCTGAAAAAGTATTAAATTTATTTAATCAAATGAAGATCGATGGCATCGAAGCAAACGAAATGATCTACCTTTATGTAATTAAAGCTCTCTGTCAAATAGCTGATTATTCATTGTCAAAATCAATTATAGAAAAAATTCCAAATTCTTTTCTTGTTAATCATCAGATTCAAAACTCTTTAATTCATATGTGGGTAAGTTAAAATGAATTTGATTCTTATGTTTTGTGTTTAAAAAAAAAGTAATTTAGGGAAAAATTGGATATGTGGATACGGCACAAGTAATGTTCGAAAATATTTCTCAACCTGATCAAATAGGATATACAGCTATGAGTTTGTTTTATTTATTTTACTTTTGAAAAAGCATATATATTTTATTATTTATTTATTGCTAGTTAATGCTTATGGTTTGAATGGATTAGGAATTAAAGCTATTGAACTTTATCATAAAATGCCAGTAGAATATATTAATGAAGCTACTTATGTTTCTGTTTTAAATGCATGTTCACATAGTGGACTCATTGATGAAGCACGCTCAATTTTCAAAAATATTCAATTGAAAACAGTTAAAATCTATACTACTATGGTATATGAAATAGATTTGTTTTTGTATATTTCAATAATTTATATACATTGTGATATTGTTAGATCGATTGTCTTAGTCGTGGATCTTTTCTTAACGAAGCTCAACAATTAATCAATGAATTTGAATGTTATCATCCACCTTCACCAATCATGTACAGTTAGTATATTGATTATTTTAATTTTTGATGGATTAATAATAATCATAGTTAAGAATTAAAAAGTATCTCCCGTTTACGTTTCATTGAAGAATGTTTCATATTAAAATGTTTGTTCGATTTAGTTTATTTTTGAAAAATTTCAAATGGTATTACAAACATCCTAATTGTAGATATAGTTAGTGAAAAATGAAGTTTAACATAGCTAGAAAGATCACACTTATACATTATTGAATTTCATTGTAGCAAGGTTAATATCGAAGATGTTTTCGTATTTTAATCACGCACATCCTTTTGGTTCAGTCCATTGACTAACCTCTTTATATATATTGTAAGATATTAAAAAATTAATAATAAAATAGAGATTATAAATAGTTTTCAATTGATGTTATAGATTTTGACGGAACACTGCATCTATGTTAACTCTAATGAGGTATTGAGCTGCTTAAAAAAGAAAGAATTATAGATAAGATCGAAGTACCTCACTCTAGTTTTTTATTGAAATTTATTCAGTCAAATTAGATGAAGTCTTCAATTTTTGAGAAGCAACTTTTAAACAAAAAGTGATTAATTGTGTACATATTTTTCTTTTTGTTTTGTTTTTGCAATATCAAATATTTAACTCGATCCGTATAGATTTTGTATTTGATTTACATTTCAGTCATCACTAAATTCGAATTAAATTATCATTATTAAATTCTATGTTGAATCTTAATAAAACTATTTTTAATTGTGTCATCAACGTACTATTGAAGAACTTTAGCGAAATAGTTAAAAATAATTTTATCAAGATTTAGAAGATATTTTAATAGTAGTCATTAATTTCGAGTTGAGTGAGAGCATCTTTTATATTATTTCAATCAATTGTATAGATCGATATGAAATTTGGTGATGATTGAAATCAGAATAGAATACAGAATCTATAAAGTCAGGGTACATAAGAAATATATCTTAGAAAAAAAAAAGAAGAAGAAGATACAATCAATTAATTATTTTCTGAACTGCGACTATTTATCGAGATTCTTAAATGTTCTCAACATCTCAAACATTACTCGTCATTTTCATAGTAATAAAAACATGATCATTTGAAGAAAAAAATCATAAATGAAGGATAACTTTACTTTTATGACAAATAAAAATAGTTGTTCAAGTAGTATTCTGAATAATTGTATTCATTAAAATATATTATATCTTCATATTCTTTTCATATTATATAAGATGTTACTGTAAAAAAATGAAATAGAACTTAATTAGTAGACAGATTTAGAGATGACGAACAAATAATAGTTTATGTTAACCATAAACAAGATCAATTAGATAAGTTTTTGATGCAAACAATATTATGTGAATTATTCAACTTAAAGATGTTATTTTATCATATTCAAATGAATGATTGTTGTGATACATGATATAAGTAATAAATTTTATTTTGATTGTAATTTTCATTTTAGTGGCATTGTTATCAGGTATTCGAAATGTAAAGAATAGTGTTTTATCACAAAAAATATATGATCATATGAAGAAAATATTTCCTGATATAACTGACCCATTGACATCAGCAATGGTTCTTCTTGCTAATACTTATGCATCATCAGGTGATATTGAAATGGCATCGAAAATAAAACGAGAAATGATTAAATCTGGTAAAAAGAAAAAAATTGGTGTTTCATGGACTGTGATTAATGGTCAAATTTTTGTAAGACTAGAATTAATATAACTTTCAATATATATTACAGAAGATTATTTTATTTTATTTTATTTTATTAGCGATTTAGAGCTCATGATCAATCTCATCCTCGAGCATCTGAGATTTATGCTGAGGGTGAAAAAATATCAAACGAACTTATACAACACGGTCATAAATATGATTCTAGCTGGATAACACGACCACTCAATCAAGATGAAACAATTGCATCTGTACTTTGTGGTCATAGTGAAAGACTAGCAATTGCATTTAATTTTGTTGTAAATCCTAATACATCACTTATTCAAGTAGCAAAAAATCTTCGAGTTTGCGGCGATTGTCGTAATTAACTATTGAATTTTTATTTTTATTTTTGTTACTTTTTTCTATCATAGATAAAGTAACAAAATTAATAGCTGCTATTCGTCAATGTGAAATTATTGTTCGAGATGCAAATAGGATTCATCATTTTTACAAAAATGGACAATGTTCATGCAAGGATTATTTCTGAAAGAAAATTTTCAATTCATTCGTTTTTTTTTTAAGTCTTTCTATGAAATTCATATTGATAAAGATTAGAGAAATGAAAATTATTTCTTCTCTCAATAACGATGTTTTTTTAGATAGTCTATGAAAAAGTAATCATATGTTCAATCAGATGAATCATATATGTTAGAAATTATGAGTGAATCATATCTTTGGTTGAATAAAGAACTTTATCATGTGGAGTTATAACTACTTTTTGATGAATCCGGAAGTATAAGAGACAATACATACCCATATTTAGGTTTATTAGACATCGACAAAAGTGAGTGACTCATCTTATATTTTGTTAATATTGATAAGATACAGTTCATATAAATACAAATGTAAAGTTAAATTGATTTTTTTTGAGATAGGATCCTGTGTTTATCAGAAAATCGATTAAATATATTTATATTCTAATCAAATAGAAAATTTGCATATAAAGTATTGTTTGACATATTCAATTATAGCAAATAAGCGTTGAATCAATCACACTTAAGCAATAGTAAAAATAGATGTAGCACTTATTTACACATTAAAGATTTAGTGAGTTAACTGGAAAGAGTTCTTCTGAAATCTACTATGATCTTAACAATACCAATATTCATTTTCTTTTTACTTATTGATTTCAACTTGAGTATTATATTGTATATCGCGATTCGCATTTACTGGCAGATTTGACATCGGATCTAAAGCAAAATAAAATAATTCTATATAAATGAACTTTGAACTATGTACGAGAGAAACAGTATTGGGTGGCTATGTGTCATACGATGATTGAATGTGAATAAGTGAGGAATTAATTCACAGTCATACCTTACACCGATACTCACACTGTCATATTGCTTATTTTTGAACAATTCATGATATTCTGTTATTGAATTAGAGATCAATCAATTTTATCTGCAATTATTACACGAATATAATGAAAGACAAGCGTTAATAGCACATAAACGAGAATTATACAATGGAAACTGACAGACTACAATTGCTTGAAATCACATGGAATCAATTATAACAGCACGATATATGAATAAAGGTATAGAAGTTGTGGGTGTGGATGTCGGTGTAGGCGTCGGTGTGTGGCTAGGTGCACGGTTGGTATTTATTCATACCCACACTCCTCCCTAATGATACATAGATTAGAAAATTTTTCGAATGAAAGTTTTGTTGTTATTTTATTTTACATAACATGATTTGAAATGATTGAATCATGTAAGTTGTTAAATAAACAATTGAATAATCTAATTTTTTGTAAAATTTTCAATCAATAAAATGGAATTATTAATTAATTGAAGTTTTCTCATTACCTATTTAATATCAATTAAATGCATTAGTATTATTATTAATATTTGATAAAAACATATTTCAATGGAGTAATTCTCAAATGACCTGTTTTAATCAAGGTAAATTTTAATTTATAAATAAATATTGAATTTTCAAAAATAAAAATGTCTTCGTTTATTTTATTTAAAAATATTATTGAATATGTAGCTGCTCTTGAAATTCTTTCAATTCAATTAAAAAACTCATTAATCAGTGCCATCGTATGAAATTGAAATAAGAAAAATAAACATTTTTTCATAATTATATCTTAACAAAAATATTATTCATCATCGTTCTCTTATGAACAAGATTCACCTAGTCTACAATTCATTCCTATTCAGAATCAATCCGATAGAATCGAGTTCAATCTGACATTTGATTATTTCTCTTTTACAAGTCTTAAGAATATTAAAGATGAATTAGTTCGAGATATTTTTTATTTGAATACATCCACATTCACAAACCTAAAAAGTGTTATTTTCGATAAATATCAATTAAACTATTTACGATAAATCATTAACAAAGTTAACTATATTGAAAATATTAAAAGTTCGTCTCGATATAGAAAATTTAATGAATAACAATTGTATTGTTAATGAAAATTTTCTTGAAATTAATAAAAAAATATGAATTTGTTTTTGATCTGATAATTTCATGTAAACATATATCATTAAAAATAAAAATAATTAAATTGAAACTTTCTAATGATATTATGTAAGATGTTTAACTTTGAAGAAAGATAAACATAAAAATTTGTTTTTATTGTTTTTTCAAAGATTATCCAATTATTTTCGATTGTAGACATTAAATACACGAATATTGATTTATGTGTATCAATTTTCTTATTTCTGAAACTATATCCAATTTAATATGGATAAATATGACATTAAATTATTAGTTTCCAAAAAATTTACATAATTTTTATGTTGTACTTCGAAAGACAATTTTTCAAATTAAACTAGATTTTATATTTATTCTATAGAACAATGTGAACAAATTAGTCAATTGGAATATTCAGCACTTTTTATGATTATTATTGAATGTAGAACATTGTTAACTGACTTAGATTCACATTTGATATATTACAAGACTTGTTTTTTGGATCTACTTTCTGATAAATTTTCATTTTATTTAGAGACTACAATAAACAATTTTTTGTCAATCGTCATCATTATATTTATCCTCTTAATCATTTCGATACTAGATATTATTTTAAATAAAATAATTTAGCTACACGCGAATAGCATTTTATATGAAATTAACGTTGATTGTATCAATTACTTCGAGAAATATTCAAATCGATTGCTGATTTATCTAATACTAAATTCATGAAGTTCGACATTTTGTATCATTTTCTGAGCTAATGAAATATTTCTAAAGAGGAAATCAAATAAACACAATTAACACATTCGAGGTGATTCAGTTTTCATACAGAAATTGATCGAGATACTCGTCTCCATGTAGAATAAACTTTTAGTAAATGCACTTACTGACCTTTTCTTTCTATTCTATCGATTTTCACCGTACTTCTTTGTTGTATAATTAGATAGCGAATCGAATCTCATGTCCAGTTATATAATGACTCAAGTTACTTTTTCATTCTGTAGCGTATAGTATACTTACATGTGAGATAAGGATAGGAAGTTTCTAGATTTTTCTGTTGAATTCGTGTCTATTCTGTTTATCGTCACTCATCAGTATAAAAGCGACCAAAATTGTCAGATTTCTTGAATATTTTACACGTCGTCAGAAGAAGCCAGTACAGAAGATAGCGTTGACTCACCCAGTGAAGTGAGTTCTTTGGATGATAATTTTGCTAGAATGCCCTTCGAATCTGCAAGTTCCGACGAAGAAGTCACTGATGATGAGGTGGATTCAAACGTCTGGAGTGAAATAGAATCTGAATCTGATGGTGGATTTGTGGAAGATCATGGAATTGTTGAACAAGTAACGCCAACTTTTGAAGATGGTACAATCAATCCTATCGATTGCTATCGACATTTTATCACTGATGAGGTTATAAGCCTTATGGTTCGCGAAACTAATAGATATGCAGAACAATACTTACTAACACATAAACCTAACAAACGATCGAAAAATCTTCAATGGGAACCAAATACTAACGAATAAATGCTGAAATTTTTGGGGATAGCCATCGAGATGGGTTTAGTGAAAATGCCAAAAGTAGACTGTTACTGGAGCAAAAGTCAATTGTATGAATCGAAGATTATTCAAAACACAATGTCGAGAGACAAATTTGAATTGCTCCTCAAGTTTTTACATTTTTCGAACAATGATGAACAGGATGCGAGTCAAGATAGACTAGCAAAGTTGAATCCACTTTTATACTTATTGAAAGCTAGATTCAAGTCAGTTTATATACCTGGTTCTGTCATTACCGTTGACGAAACAATGGTACCCTGGCAAGGTCGACTCTCCTTTAGACAATACGTTCCAGGCAAAGCCCACAAATATGGGGTTAAAATGTACAAAGTAGCAGATACGAATGGATATACTTGGAATTTTATGATTTATACAGGAAAACAGAACCCAGCGACTACTCTTGGACATTCCCAAACAGTCACCATGCAATTGTTAGAAGATCTTTTCGGATGTTGTCGAACTGTAGTAGCTGACAATTTTTTTACGAGTATTACTCTCGCCAAACGATTGTTAGAAAATGACACCTACCTCATTGGAACATTGAGAAGTAATCGTGTTGGTTCCGGAAAAGAAGTTGTACAGAAACAACTCAAGAAAGGTGAGATTTATGGACTACACAATGGCGATGGTATTAAGTTGATCAAATGGAAAGATAAAAGAGAGGTTCTGATGATATCTACCAAATCATCGCATACAACAGCTCTCGTGGACATCAGAAAAACTACTCCATCTGGCGAGCGTATCATGAAGCCACAAGTGGTACTCGACTACAATAAAGGAAGACAAGGTACAGATTTGTCGGATCAACTGTCAGCGTACTAAATATGTCTAAGACGATCTGTAAAATGGTATCGAAAGGTGGCGTTTGAATTGATATTTGGAACATTAATAGTGAATAGCTATTTGATATACAAGGAAAACTATACAACAAGCAACATAACCATCTTACAATTTCGTGAGAGTCTTGTGCGATCTTTACTCCTTGGTGCACCATCCGAAAATCTGAAACCAGGTCCGTGACAACAGTCAACAAGTCAAACGAAGCGCAAACTTGCTGATCATAAGCTGGAAGAAATATAAGGATCTGCGAGCAATGTTTGCGGGTGTGGGTGTGGGGTGTGGGTGGGTGTGGGTGTGGGTGGGTGTGGGTGTGGGTGTGGGTGTGGGTGTGGGATGTGCGTGGGTGTGGGTGCGGGTGTGGGCGTGGATGTGGGTGTGTGTTAACAGACCATGTAGACCCACACCCATACCCAGGAAGAAGTGAAACGCTAAAAATGCCGTTTAAACTGTCATAATCACCCGTTTTGTTAGGAAATGGTGATAAACAGCAAGAAAAAACGTGATCATCACGTTTCTCGCCGTTTTGACGTCTAGTCAGCGTTTCCAAGAGCTATTCACATTAAATAAACTCTGAAACGGTTATATAAGTCATTTTCTTCTTTGTAAAAGATAGTGAGAAATGTTTATGATCGTCTTTTCCAACGAAAACAGCTGTAAATTCTTAAAGTTGATTAATTTTTTTTTTGGGACTGGTTTCCATAATTATTTATATCCTCGTGAATTTGTATTTTTTATTGTTTCACAGTACGCGTGAAAGACATTTAGTCCGTTTGGAGCTTCCATTTATCTTTTGATCTGCTGAATTACTTCAAAAAAAGTATTTGCTGTAGATTTAATTATGTGAAAAAGAGTTCCTTTGATTAAAGTAAGAATCCGCATAACATTGACATCATATGAATCAAAATCATGTGTTGGTGCGAACATTAGAATATCGAAAAAATACAGATTGATTTTATTGATTTAAAGTCTCAATTTTCACAATGAAATCCTAATTTTTTGATTATATTCAAAGCTCGAAACGTACGATAAATTAGAAGTTCCTAATATTCTCAAACATTAAATTGCTGCATTAGAGTTTTCATCACAAATTATCAACTCATCAGTATATAAGCTAATTGAAACTCGTTTTATGACAAGGAATACAACATTATTAATTATGAGCTACATAATCCAATTAGAAACTCTAGTCAAGTCAAAAAAGAGTAATATTGTCAGTTAATATATATTCGACAAATGTATATGGCATAAACAGAACGGATCTCATATGCTTAGTAATTGATTGTTAGTCTTAATCAAATTGGAGAGATAGGAAAGCAAAGGGAAGAAAAGAAAAATTTAAGTCAAGAAGTAAAAGAAAAAATTCAGAGAAGAGGAAGGGAAAAAGAATAAAGTTAGAGAAGGACAAAAGAGAAAATAAATTCGTCCAGCAGATTCATTCATTCATTCGATGAAGATTGCTCAATAAGTAAACATCACTTCTGCGAGCGATGTGAATGCACACAAAGATAAGATACATGAATGATATCTGAATTTAATCTAAAATACTATTCAGATTACGAAGAAATTCACATATTTACTGTATACGAATTGTGAATAAGAATTCTCATTGACCGTTGGTCGAGCTTAGAAAACATGAGCAAAAAGATTCAGATAACTCTAATAGAAGAAGTCTTCAGAATTGAACGATGTAGAGGATTTAGTTTCACCTTACGTTCTGCGTTTATTTTTGCTTTTTCTTAGGATAGTATTTGTGGAAAACTGTCTGTACCAGAGATGAGCGAGCCGCGGTGTAAAACCGCCCCGTCCCGCCCCGCCCCGCCCCGCCGGCGGGGCGGTGCTAAAACTTGACGGGGCGGGGCGGTGACGGTGCATGACGAAATTTCGCGGTTTCCCCGCCTTTGTATAACCTTGATTTTTTAAATATACTCAGACCTTTAGAGACATCTTTTTAAAATTTTAAAATCTTTTCACAAAACTAATCAGTAAAAAAAGACTTGTTAGCGCAGTTCCAGAGAAGCTAAAATGTGGAACTCACATATATTTTTTTAATTTTTTGTCCTGATGCCTAATTTTTAAATTGTAAAATACCTTTTTTCCGAATACGTATGAAATCATTGATATATTATATAAAAACTAGAGCCTTTTATGCGCTGCTGAGGTCTGTAATGGTGGGGGTCAGGGTTACCAGATCGAAAATTAAAAAAATCAGAAAAATTTTTCTAAAAATTGGGAAAGTCGGAATTTTTGTTCTCGAAATCGGAAGAAAATCAGAAAGTATTCTTCCATGCTTAAATAACTAGTTTATATATTTTCGATAGCTTCAATATCCTTTATCTTGCTTCTGTTCATCTTTTCGAAGCAATATCGGAAATGATATTTCATAAAGAATGAAAGAAAATATCGATTACACAATTTACTCATGATTAAGACATCTACATAAGTAATTTGAACAGGATCACATTATTTTTATCAAAAGTGCTATAACCAACTTGACGAAACAATAGAATCAGTATTGTAAATTCATACACACACATGCATTTCACAAAACTTATGCAAAACAAAACTAAGACTTATTCTGTATAATGTTCGTTTTTGTTCATACTTTTTTATTAGCTCGAATACTCTTCAAAATATCAGGTTGAGGTAACAGATATTCATAAAAATGTCCACAAGTATAAACAGAACTCATTCCGATTTTCAATTCTGCAACAGCTAAATTAGTACCCATACGTTTATGATTAGTTTTATGATATCTGTGATGAAACAAAAAAAGCTCAGAAACGAAAATATTCTTAATTAACACTATAGTAAACGAACAGAGAAAGTTAGTTCATCGTGATAGAAAGCTGGATCTTAATTGTCTGTAAAACATCATAGTTTTATTGGAGGATATGCTTTCAAATCACTGCAGTGTGGTTTGTTGAGTTCATGACGCTTCACTACCCGATAACTATGGTGAAATAGATCGCTATATATGTGTGGTGTCGTGTCATGGTTAAACTATTCTAGAATGTCCTAAG